CACCCCGCCCACCCTCTACCCCAGGCCCGCCGGACCTTTCAATTGGGCCCCTACCCTGTAGATCCCAACAAAACCCTCACCCTTTCACTGCAGCCAGTCAGCTCTCATATCGCGCCACGGAAATAGCTATACACACTCACGCTTCACACCCTTCACGCCCACACCCTGGTGTCCCGCCCCGATACAAAGTGGCGGGACCTCCTGCCACCTCTGGAGGGTGAGCAACCCCGGTGGGCGAGCCTGTATTCCACCTTAGTCCCGAGGCCCGTCGGGGACATTAGTTGGCAGCTCCTTCACGGAGCTGTGAGTACAGTGTTTTTGACACGGTTCACCCCCATCCCGGATACTTTCCCTTTTTTGCAATGTGAGGGAAACCCTGGCGCACATATATTTAGTGTGTGCCAGGCTGCAGCCCCTTTTCTGGCTCCTCACGAATATTTTATTATGCTTTTGGCTACACTTTTTCCCTCACCTTTTTATCTACACACTCCCCATCCGTGGCCCCACAAAATCAAGAGATTTCCTGGTTAACCTCCTCCTAGCCCTAGCTAAAATAGCCATTTACAAAACCAGAGAGAGGAGGTTGGCTAATGAAGCGTCCTGCGATTGTAGGGCCGTTTTCCGATCCTCAGTACATTCACGTATCCGGGCGGCGTTCCTCTGGGCGGCGTCCACCGACTTTCTTGACGCCTTCGAGGAGCGGTGGGCGCTTTCCGAGGTTCTCTGCTCGGTGACCCCATCCGGTTTCCTCCGTCTGACCCTTTGATTGAGGGGAAGAGAGAGAGACCCCAGCCCCAGCCGTTGCCGCTGTGGATACTATCATCACTGTCACCTAGGAGGGATCCAATCACACATGGTGTACGTCCCCCCCACCCCCAAACTGCCGACCCCGCAGCCGTGCCCGTCTTGTCGGGCACTCTCAGGAGAGGGATAATCGGTGACACTGGGTGTGGCACTAGGTAACTCGAGGGGGTGGAAGACCATGAGTGTCGAGGAAGCCCCCCCGCTCTAGGCCACCAGGTAACTCAGGAGGGTGGAAGACCACAAGTGTCGAGGAAGCCCCCCCACTCTGGGCCCAGGCTAGCCTGAACACTTCTCCCTCCTGAAGGCTGCTGTGTTATACCTTGTGTTTGCTTTTGTTTTGTTGCATAGTTTTGCTTTATCCTTTTTGGTGATTTTTTGTAAGTGTTACACAAATAAAACCCTTTCCTCTTTAAAAAAAAAAAAACAACAACACTCTCCTGCTGCTCTCTGGCCATGCTGTATCACAGTACAAAGGAAGGCACCCCACATGTTGACAATACAAAGACTAAAGCTGACAAAGCAGCCCAAATTGATACCATGTGTGTCGCATATCTAGCCTGATGTCTCAATAACAAGCTACGGGTGAGCTTCCGTCATAGCTGTACTGGACCACAAAGTCTCTCTGGAAATGAAACAGTGTGGAGAATCCATTTCTTCCTAACAGAGATCTTCGTTGAAGATAAGACAGTTACCTTTCCATAAGTGGTGTTCTTCGAGATGTGTTGTTCACGTCATAGAATATCAGGGTTGGAAGGGACCTCAGGAGGTCATCTAGTCCAATCTAGTCCAACCCCCTGCTCAAAGCAGGACCAATCCCCCACTAAATCATCCCAGCCAGGGCTTTGTCAAGCCTGACCTTAAAAATATCTAAGGAAGGAGATTCCACCACCTCTCTAAGTAACGCATTCCAGTGTTTCACCACCCTCCTAGTGAAAAAGTTTTTCCTAATATCCAATCTAAACCTCCCCTACTGCAACTTGAGACCATTACTCCTTGTTCTGTCATCAGCTACCACTGAGAACAGTCTAGATCCATCCTCTTCGGAACCCCCGTTCAGGTAGTTGAAAGCAGCTATCAAATCCCCCCTCATTCTTCTCTTACACAGACTAAACAATCCCAGTTCCCTCAGCCTCTCCTCATAAGTCATGTGTTCCAGTCCCCTAATCATTTTTGTTGCCCTCCGCTGGACTCTTTCTAATTTTTTCACATCCTCCTTGGCCCCTTCCCTACCACCTGGATCTGCTGTCACAGGATCACGGTCAGCTCCAACACCCCAACCTCGAGTCTCCACACCTCTTGGTGTGGATGCTCCGTGGTTGAACCCAGAGGAGCGTACCTGGATGGGAGTAAAGGTATTCGTGCCCCTTAGTTGGGACAAAGTACCTACGCTCTGCCTGTTTGGAAATGGGGGGCAGAGAGGAGGGGTTTTCCAGAAGGTGCTGGATATCTTCAATATCCCTTTGTGAAGGGGAAGGGCCACCCTAGCTGTGGAGGAGAGGATGTCAAACAGGAAGTCCGCTTGCTCCTCCAACTCCTCTGTGTCCGCTTGCTCCTCCAACCCCTCTTTAACAACTCCTGGTGTTCCTTAGTGTCACCTGGAGGAACCAGGTGAGGGGGCTCCATGATGGCCTCGTCCAATGAGAACGAGGAAGAGGCCATTACCATGGGTTTCACAACAACCACTGGTGGGCCAGCAGGCTGTTCCCCTTGGTCCAGATGGACTTGTGGAGGTCTCATGTCCTAAGTGATATTCTGAGTTACTGCTTTCCAAAATACGGTCTCCATGAATGTAAGTGTGACCTATTAAAATACACCTTGTTTGACTGTACCCAGTGTACTAAGCAATCCAGGTCTCTCTGTAGAACTGACCTGTCCCTATCATAACCATTTCACCAGTCACTGTCACTTTACTAGGAATTATTTTATATTTTCATGCAGATCATCGATAAAGATATTGAATAGTATCTGCCCAAAAAATGATCCCTAAGTGACCCCACTGGAAACAACCCTAATGGTGATTCCTCATTAACAACTACTTTGAGATCTATCAGTTAACCATTTTGTAATCTACTTAACGTGCGATACATTGACTGTGTATCATGCTAACTCCTATACCCCTTATGCATATATCTCCCTTCTCCTGTCTCATATACCCTGGAGGACCTTGCCATGGGCAGAGAGGAGAGGACTGCTGCTCCTTGGCATCTCTTTTCCCGCCCCCACTTCATAGTGTAATGGGCAGTCAGCAGGAGTAGAACAGACTAGAGTTTGCTGCTAGCTGCAGAGTTGGTGCAGCAGGTCAGCTTTCTGCCAGTCCTGGGGGTTCAGAGGAAAGAACCATACAGAGTGGTGGGAACTGGTTTGTGGAAACTGTGTGAAAGGGAGTTGGGCCTCCCCAGCTATGCCTAGTGATGACCTTGCAGACAGGACTATTTTAAATGCCTGGGAGGTGCTTAGGTACAAGGTGACTGAGGCCATGTAAAAAGAGATGGAACCTGAATCTCTCCCTTCACCCAGACCTCCTCCCTTCTCTTTTCCCTCTACTAGCTCCAATACTCAGCTTCACGGTCTTCCTGCTCTGCAGTCCCTATCTCTCTATCCCTCTTTGGATGTAGGTTTCAGAGGAACAGCCGTGTTAGTCTGTATTCGCAAAAAGAAAAGGAGTACTTGTGGCACCTTAGAGACTAACCAATTTATTTGAGCATGAGCTTTCGTGAGCTACAGCTCACTTCATCAGATGTTTACCGTGGAAGCTGCAGTTTCCACGGTAAACATCTGATGAAGTGAGCTGTAGCTCACGAAAGCTCATGCTCAAATAAATTGGTTAGTCTCTAAGGTGCCACAAGTACTCCTTTTCTTCTTTGGATGTAGGAACTCTCCCCTCCCTTCTGTGTCTCCTAGGCTCTTTCCCTACTTCCTTACTTCTTACCCCAACTCTCCTGGGAACCCTCTTCTCTTCCCTCGAGTAATCCCCACTACCGTGTCCCCCTTTGTTAAAATCCCTCCATCACTCCCCTGCAGGTCCTCCTCTTCTCTACGTCTTCCCTGGAGTCACTGCCAACAGTTCTGGGATCCTCAGGGTCTTTTCCACCTCCCACTGGAGTCTCTCCCCAAATTACAGCGGGTTACCTCCTCTTCCCTAGGGTAACCCCTCCCAACCCGGGGCCCCAGCCTTTGGTCTCTCTTCCTCTTTTCTCCTTCACCCTTCAGATGCTCCCTCTTCTTTGGGCTCTCTCTGACTTTAACCCTACCTGAAGTCAATTTAGCAACTTTTATCCCCTCATCCATGATCTCAGCCTTCCCCTTCCTTCCCCATTACTCTGCTTTCAGACCACTGCATTCCTATCATCTTTCTGCCCCCACTGCTTGCAGGGCCTTATGCCCCTTGATCATCAGCTCCTTCTGCTCCCTTACCTCTGTCCTATCTCCTCTGCCCCTCTCCACACGCTTCTTTGGCTCCCTTCCCCATGCTCCCCAGACTCCTCCTGCAGTTCTGCCCCTGGTGGACCTCTGCTCTGGATCTTGTTCTCCCTAGTGATGTCTCCAGCAGACAGCAGCGGCAGAGGCTGAACGGAGACTGCTGCCTTGCAGGGGACACAGCCCCACAGCTGCCACTGCTGGCAGGACAGCAGAAGTGCAGGGATTTTCTCTCAACACTCTGTTCAGTGCTAGGAGCTCTGGCTGAGACAGCTATAAATAGCAAGTGAGAAGGCAGCACCCCTTAGTGCCTCCTCTTGGCGACAGGCCTGCTCTAAAACAGCTTTACACCTTCCTTAATCCTGGGTTGTCTGAGGGCCACTTTGGCTCCCCACAGGTTAAAGCAGCCCCAGGGATGTTCCAACTTGCACCGGCTAAAAAGCCTGATAGGAACCACTTGCACCGGCTAAAAAGCCTGATAGGAACCACTAAGCCAGTACAGGATCAGTGGAGTGCATCACACATCAGCCCCTTCCCATCATGCCCTTTGACTGCCTCAACACACACCCAATGCCTTTTGTTGAGGGAATCCTGCAGACTGGTTAAGACCAGTCTAAAACTCCTTGCACTGCTCTATTGGCCCTACAAGTCTATATCACTGATAGGAAATCGCAGTCTATTTTCAATCTTTTTTTATCATTCTTTGTCTGCTAATTGTTTCCAAACTTGGTCAGTTTAAGTATCAACTCACCATAAGACTATTTCTGTGAAATACTTGCCTGTTTCAATCTCTCCCTTGCCTGTATAATTTTCTTCCTTAGCCACTTACAGCGAGCAGTGACAATGGCTGCATGTCCCCGGACTCGGTCTTCCTTCTGTCAGTAATGAGTGTGAAAGAAGAACACGTCATAAGTGGACTCACAGACAATATCATCCTGGAAGACAGAAGGAGTGGAGGGTCCTTCACGCCTTCCAGGTTTGGGTCCAAGGTATGATGATTTTACTTTAAGTATTAGAACATACTGTGATAGCAAACAGAGGGCACATAAATATCCACTGTACACAACGTGGGCAAAATTCCACCCTCTCTTCCTCCAAAACACTTAGTAAAATTGGTTGAGGAGATTCTTTCACCATAAGCCCTGAGGAGAAGGGTGATAACTATGTTCAGTGACCATGGGATCCTGTAGTTATATGTGATGCCCAGAAATAAGAGTAACATTTGTTTGCTGCTACTCTTAATAATTGGACCAATTTAATGGCACTCTGTGAATCCTCTGCAAAGGCTTTTATAGGAATGCACTTTGTGGTTTTTTCAAGTGCTTCTAGCTTTCTGAAAAAGTTATTCTTGAGCTCAAATTTCTCATGCTTGTTCTCAGCCAAAAAGTGAAGGTTTTTTCTTTCATGTTTGGTCTTTGTTTTAATTATTGGAGAAAGAACGAAGGTGTTTTTTCCCATAATTTAAAACATTTTTCATATTTTTTATTTCAATAATTAAAAAATGGCTTTTAGGAAACTTGAGGCATGATACTGCAAACCGTTGACCATTATCTTTCAGGAGGTATTCACTAGCTTTGAAGTTGGAGTTCTTAAATATCACTTTTCACAATATAGCTACATATCTATCTTAGGTTTTTACATAGCACTTTCTCTCTCAAAATGGCTCCGTGGGATTCCATATTCGTGTCTCAATGACTTATACATTCTAAGTTTACAGGTTCTCTTTCCCTGACAGTCTGCAAATTTACCTGGAATACTGTACATTTACTGAAGCAGAATCACATTATCTTCCCGATTAATGACCCCTTGTGCTCTAGTTTTGTGGGTTGGCTGGCATAGCCACTGTACAGTTATTTCTTTTACAACAAATATGCTGTGAATATGCAAATATCTCTTCTGTGCTGGTCACTGTAGCTATGTCTACATTGCACACCACTTTTGGCAGTGTGTAGTGTACACACAGCTACATGCCCCAGGGAAAAGCACATCGCATCCACTCTGTAGTGTGTAGCTAAACGTATCAGTGAAAGGCTCTGGCAGAGGCAAGGCTGCAGAGAAAAGCTCTGGTAGAGGCAAGGCAGCGGGGAAAGGCTCAGCCTCTTCCCACTACCTCTCCTCTGCCAGAGCCTTTCCCTGCTATTGGAGCCTATGTCATGGCCAGGTTCTGGGCGCCATACCACAATCATGAGACAGAACATAACATAAGAACATAAGACTGGCCATACTGTGTCAGACCAAAGGTCCATCAAGCCCAGTATCCTCTCCTCTGACAGTGGCCAACGGCAGGTGCTCCAAAGGGAATGAACAGACAGGTTACCATCAAGTGATCCATGCCCTGTCACCCAGTTCTGGCAATCAGAGGCTAGGAACACCATTCCTGCCCATCCAGGCTAATAGCCATTGATGGACCTAACTTCCATGAATCTATCTAGCTCCCTTTTGAACCCCATTATAGTACTGGCCTTCACAACACCTTCTGGCAAGGAGTTCCAGAGGTTGACAGTGCGTTGCGTGAAAAAATACTTTCTTGTGTTTGTTTTAAACCTGCTATCTATTAATTTCATTTGGTGGCCCCTTGTTCTTCTATTATGAGAAGGAGTAAATAATACTTCCTTATTTACTTTCTCTAGACCACTCATGATTTTATAGAATCAGAGAATATCAGGGTTGGAAAGGACCTCAGGAGATCATCTAGTCCAACCCCCCTGCTCAAAGCAGGACCAATCCCCAACTAAATCATCCCACCTAGGGATTTGTTAAGCCTGACCTTAAGAACCTCTAAGGAAGGAAATTCCACCATTCCAGTGCTTCAGCACCCTCCTAGTGAAAAAGTTTTTCCTAATATCCAACCTAAACCTCCCCCACTGCAACTTGAGACCATTAATCCTTGTTCTGTCATCTGCCACCACTGAGAACAGTCTAGATCCATCCTCTTTGGAACCCCCTTTCAGGTAGTTGAAAGCAGCTGTCAAATCCCCCCTCATTCGTCTCTTCTGCAGACTAAATAACCCCAGTTCCCTCTACCTCTCCTCATAAGTTCCTGCCCCCTAATCATTTTTGTTGCCCTTCACTGGACTCTTTCCAATTTTTTCACATCCTTCTTGTAGTGTGGGGCCCAAAACTGGATTCATAGAGATTCTACGGCACAGTCTGGTTCATTTAAGATTTTTACTTCATTTGATTCATTTTACTTCATTTGAGTCTATGCTTTCTTTCACATATAGTGCCACTCTCCAACCACCACGACCTGTTCTGTCCTTGCGATATATTTTGTACCCTGGTATTACTGTGTCCCATTGATTAACCTCATTCCACCAAGTTTCTGTGATGCCTATTATATCAATATCCTCATTTAATATAAAGCACTCTAGTTCACCCATCTTATTATTTAGACCTCTAGCATTTGTATATAAGCACTTTAAAAACTTGGCACTTTTTATCTGTCTGCCATTACATGATGGTCTGCAGAAGAGAAGAACACAGCTCACAGGACCCTTGATCGTCTATATTGTAGCTGGATTTTAAAAGGATTGGATAATTTTATAATCAATAACATGTAGTGATGTGCCAAACAGAGCTAACCATCCTAGCTCTTGCTTTCACAGGTGTCACGGAGGAATCTCCCACCGGTCTCCAGCCTGGTTCAAATGTCCATGTACTTTACGAAAATTCCTTAATTCTCTGTGTCTCATTACCAAGCACTATAATTGACAAATACAGCTGAAGTACAGAAGTCTCCCTACAGATTCTTGTAAGTGTTACAGAAATAATTGTCTTAGCATACAGCTGAAGAAGATGGTTTACCTTCATCTTTATGTCCACGAATGACAGACTGCTTCTCTCAAACTCAAGTATCATTTTCACTAGATTATATACCCACCTCTCCCAGAACAAACTCCAAGTCGCTGAACTGCCTGTTTTCCCACAGTCTTCCATAATCTTCATGTAAAGTGCATTTTGGGTAACAAGAAAACTGAAATAAAAAAGATTTTACACCCGTTATAGTTTATTTCAGTTTATCATGGGGGCATGCCAACAGCACCATGGCTAAGATTGCCACTGGATTTCAACGTTGACGACATCTTAACCTACAGCTAAAAAAACAAACTACAGAATGTCCTGATCAATTATATACACCTATGTACCCTCATGCATGGTAGTGACTTTGTGAAGGAGGGAGTTGGGTGGGGATCTGTTGTAGGAGGCAGGAAATATATGTCCCCAAAACCCACAGGTTTCAAAATTTCAGAGCCAGGAGTATCACCAGTTTTCAGAACCAATTTGCAGAAGATAAGAATGAGGGGAGATTTGATAGCTGCTTTCAACTACCTGAAAGGGGGTTCCAAAGAGGATGGATCTAGACTATTCTCAGTTGTAGCAGATGACAGAACAAGGAATAATGGTCTCAAGTTGCAGGGGGTTGGACCAGATGGTCCCTTCCAACCCTGATATTCTATGATTCATAGACAGCGTCACTCCCAGTAATCAGTGCCAGTAACCACTTTGGTGCAGAACACTTCTGAAAATGTCACGACTTTAAAAATCCCAAGAATGAGGGTTTTTTTATAGTAACAAGATGCCACTCTGCCAACTTGTGCATGCAGATTGTGCATGCATACACATGCTTTTTCTGCCAGGAGGGACCACAATATATCACATACAAGAGAGTATCAGTAAGGGAACTAGCTACCTTCTGGGGTTTGCTGGCATGACGGGTAATACCAGGGAACACCAGAAGACAAAAGGGAAGCTGGGAGGGCCACACTCCAGAATGGGGATGCTTCTCTATAGCCCCCTGAAGCTGTGGTGCTGCCTGCCTGCCCTCCTCCATGTTCCCTGTTGTGGCTTTAGGTTTAACCCTACCATGTAGGTGGCTGTGGGAGGTCTAGGAGCATGCTCTGTGCAGTTGGCATGTAGGAATTCCATGGGGGTGGAGCACACTCAGCAGCTGGGCCAAAGCATGCATAATGCACATGGATGATCAGTGGGATCAGATAGATAGAATGGTTTGGAGATTTTAGCAGCAAACTTCTAACAAAGCTGAGCATGTGAAAATAGTAATCTTTAGAGGCCTATAACCCACTCAAACCATCCTCCTGACAAATTTCAAGTGCCTGTTCCAAAGCATGGAGGTGCTAGAGATCCTAGAAGAAACGGTTATAAAAAATGTTTCACATTGTAAAAAGTGTCTGAACTGCTTTTGATGAAATGTTTAAAAAAATCAGCCTGAGGCAGAGACTAAGCTTAGAAAATTTCAGCCTGAACAGTTAAAGTTTAGGAACAATTAAGCAACTGAAAACATAAGCTTATAATGGATAATAGTAGGCATGCTCCATAACCCCATGAATCAGGTTAACAAATTACCTGGAATCTGTACATTTCTCCACTTCTAATGTTATTGTCCACTGTCCCACCAAAGATGTACATGGCGTCTGAGATGACAGCTGCAGCATGGAAGAGTCTCCCACTTGGCAGCTAGGAAAACAAGCACAAAAATGTTGAGGACTATTTAAGAGGTACCTTTTCATGATTTAATTGGGGATTAGTCCTGCTTTTGAGCAGGGGGTTGGACTAGATGACCTCCTGAGGTCCCTTCCAACCCTGATATTCTATGATTCTATGATTCAAACAAGAATTTGTCTGGGAAAAAGCAAAAGTGAGAAAGGAAAAACAATATAATGTAAATGAATTAGCAACAAATGGCAGGCCCATCTGACAGATTTTAGGATTGCCTTGTTACCTCTACAGCCTCCCTTCCTGCCACTTTTAATGGCGCCCCTTTTGGTAAACTTTTAAAATTATTAGTATTTTACATATGCAGGGATGTATGTATTCTGTAGGTAAGAATGTTCTGCAGAATACTCCTGTTGCCAAGAAACTTTGCTTCAGAGCTAAGTTTCATTTTAAAAAACAAAGTACATTTCCATCCCTTATAGATACAGATAAATCTTCCAAATGCGAACAAAATATGAACTGAGTGTTTATTCTGCAAACTGACAGCTTGAAATAAAGGTGTAAACTGACCCATTTATGTCAGTGGGTGTTAACTCTGAACCCTAATTGTGAAAATTTAAATGCAAGCACTAACTCTTTCAAGTTGGTCATTGTAGCAGAATCATTCCGCTAATGTGACTGATGCTGGACGCAAAGATGGATACTGTAAATAGGAGACAGTGGAGCAGCTGGTTGCTGTGAAGGAGGGTGATGGGGGAAGAAGCCCATCTTCCCCCTTCTCCAAAATGTCCAAGAGAATGTATCTACCCCTCATTGTCTGTTGGTCAAATCACATCCTATAGCTCCTGGGTTTCAACAACATCCAGCTGCTCCCCAAACTGCTATAATTCATAGGCTCTCTATGGACAGAAGGGATCACTATGGTCATCTAGTGAATCTGATCTTCTGCATAGCAAAGGCTACACTTAGGATGGAAGAATCCAATGCACCGCTACAGACTAGGGACCGAATGGCTAGGCAGCAGTTCTGCGGAAAAGGACCTAGGGGTGAGAGTGGACGAGAAGCTGGATAGGAGTCAGCAGTGTGCCCTTGTTGCCAAGAAGGCCAATGGCATTTTGGGATGTATAAGTAGGGGCATAGCGAGCAGATCGAGGGACGTGATCGTTCCCCTCTATTCGACATTGGTGAGGCCTCATCTGGAGTACTGTGTCCAGTTTTGGGCCCCACACTACAAGAAGGATGTGGATAAATTGGAGAGAGTCCAGCGAAGGGCAACAAAAATGATTAGGGGTCTGGAACACATGACTTATGAGGAGAGGCTGAGGGAGCTGGGATTGTTTAGCCTGCAGAAGAGAAGAATGAGGGGGGATTTGATAGCTGCTTTCAACTACCTGAAAGGGGGTTCCAAAGAGGATGGCTCTAGACTGTTCTCAATGGTAGCAGATGACAGAACGAGGAGTAATGGTCTCAAGTTGCAGTGGGGGAGGTTTAGATTGGATATTAGGAAAAACTTTTTCACTAAGAGGGTGGTGAAACACTGGAATGCGTTACCTAGGGAGGTGGTAGAATCTCCTTCCTTAGAGGTTTTTAAGGTCAGGCTTGACAAAGCCCTGGCTGGGATGATTTAACTGGGAATTGGTCCTGCTTCGAGCAGGGGGTTGGACTAGATGACCTTCAGGGGTCCCTTCCAACCCTGATATTCTATGATTCTACAGAATTACATCCAGAGATTCCTGCATTAAGCCCAGAACTTCTGGTTGAGCTAGAATGTAGCACTGAGAAACAGACATCCAATTTAAAACTTTGAGTGATGGAGAACTTTCCACATCCCTTGGTAAATTTGTTCCAATGGTTAATTCCCCTCACTTTTAAACATTTGCTTCTTGTTTCCAGTTTGAATTAATCTAACTTCAGGTTCTAGACACCGGATCTTGTTATGTCTGTTAGATTAAAAAGCCCTCTGCCATCAGAAATCTTCTCCTCATGTAGATACTGACAGACTGTGATCAAGTCATCTCTGAGCCTTCTCTTTGATAAACTAAATAGATTGAATTTCTTAAGTCTCTCACTGTAGGTAGGTTTTCCAAACCTCAAATTACGTTTGTAGCTCTTGTCTCATCACTTTTCAATTTCACAACTTCCTTTTTGAAGTGCGGACACCAGAACTGGACACCGTACTCCAGTAATGACATCATTAATGCTGAGTAAATGAATACCAAAAATAGCTCTACCTCCTTACTCCCACTCAATATTCCCCTACACATACATCAAAGAACTAAAGTAGTCCTTTTGCCACAGCACTATACTGAGAGCTCATGTTCAGCTGGTCATTCACCATGATCCTTAAATCCTTTTCAAAATAATTGCTTTTGAAGATATTGTCTCTCATCCTATAATCGTGACTTACAGTCTTTCTTCCTAGACATACAATCTTGCATTTGGATGAATTAAAAAAGTATGTTGATTGTTTATGGCCTATTACCAAGTGCTCCAGATCACTCTGTATATATGACCTATCCTCAGCATTATTTATCACTCCACTAAAGGCTGTTTTCTGCAAACTTTGCCAGCACTGATTTTAAATTTTCTTCCAGATCACTGATGAAGGTCTATGATACATACTGATAAAGACAATTGAATAGCACTGGTCCAAGACAAATTCTTGTTGGATCCTACTTGAAACACCCTCAATGAACAGATGAGGATTCTCCATTAACAATTTTGAGAACTATCTACAAACCAGTTTTTAATCCATTTAACATGTTATATTAATTTTACATGGTACTCTTATATTTGAATCAGTATGTCGTGGAATTAAGTAAGTCCACACACTTACCTTTATCAATCAAACTGTATATGTTATCAAAACATACCAAGCTTGTTTGACAAGACCCATTTTTAAAGAAACCCTTCTGATTAACATTATTTAGGTTCCCATCCTTTACTGACTGACTCTGGTTTTGTTCAATATCTTCATAAATGATCTGGAGGGTGGTGTGGATTGCACTCTCAGCAAATTTGCGGATGATACTAAACTGGGAGGAGTGGTAGACACGCTGGAGGGCAGGGATAGGATACAGAGGGACCTAGACAAATTGGAGGATTGGGCCAAAAGAAATCTGATGAGGTTCAATAAGGATAAGTGCAGGGTCCTGCACTTAGGACGGAAGAACCCAATGCACCGCTACAGACTAGGGACCGAATGGCTAGGCAGCAGTTCTGCGGAAAAGGACCTAGGGGTGACAGTGGATGAGAAGCTGGATATGAGTCAGCAGTGTGCCCTTGTTGCCAAGGACAATGGCATTTTGGGATGTATAAGTACGGGCATAGCGAGCAGATCGAGGGACGTGATCGTCCCCCTCTATTCGACATTGGTGAGGCCTCATCTGGAGTACTGTGTCCAGTTTTGGGCCCCACACTACAAGAAGGATGTGGATAAATTGGAAAGAGTCCAGCGAAGGGCAACAAAAATGATTAGGGGTCTGGAACACATGACTTATGAGGAGAGGCTGAGGGAACTGGGATTGTTTAGTCTGCGGAAGAGAAGAATCATAGAATATCACAGAATCATAGAATATCAGGGTTGGAAGGGACCTCAGGAGGTCATCTAGTCCAACCCCCTGCTCAAAGCAGGACCAATCCCCAGTTTTTGCCCCAGTTCCCTAAATGGCCCCCTCAAGGATTGAACTCACAACCCTGGGTTTAGCAGGCCAATGCTCAAACCACTGAGCTATCCCTCCCCCCCAATGAGGGGGGATTTGATAGCTGCTTTCAACTACCTGAGAGGTGGTTCCAGAGAGGATGGTTCTAGACTATTCTCAGTGGTGGAAGAGGACAGGACAAGGAGTAATGGTCTCAAGTTGCAGTGGGGGAGGTTTAGGTTGGATATTAGGAAAATCTTTTTCACTAGGAGGGTGGTGAAACACTGGAATGCGTTGCCTAGGGAGGTGGTGGAATCTCCTTCCTTAGAAGTTTTTAAGGTCAGGCTTGACAAAGCCCTGGCTGGGATGATTTAATTGGGGATGGGTCCTGCTTTTGAGCAGGGGGTTGGACTAGATGACCTCCTGAGGTCCCTTCCAACCCTGATATTCTATGATTCTATGAAATAAGGGATATTGCTGAAATAAAAGCCTTGCTGACATAGCCCTGTTTGCTACAGAATTAAGATAAACTTCACTGAATTAGGTTTAATACCTTTAATGTACCTTTGGGGTACATCGGATTAAAAATGCAATTGTGCTATGTTCACCTGCACATCCACCAATGTGATATATGCCATCATGTGCCAGCAATGCCCCTCTGCCATTTACATTGGTCAAACTGGACAGTCTCTACGTAAAAGAATAAATGGACACAAATCAGATGTCAAGAATTATAACATTCATAAACCAGTCGGAGAACACTTCAATCTCTCTGGTCACGCAATCACAGACATGAAGGTCGCTATCTTACAACAAAAAAAACTTCAAATCCAGACTTCAGCGAGAAACTGCTGAATTGGAATTCATTTGCAAATCGGATACTATTAATTTAGCCTTAAATAGAGACTGGGAGTGGCTAAGTCATTATGCAAGGCAGCCTATTTCCCCTCGTTTTTCCTACCCCCCCCCCCCCAGATGTTCTGATTAAACTTGGATTTAAACTTGGAGAGTGGTCAGTTTGGATGAGCTATTGCCAGCAGGAGAATGAGTTTGTGTGTGTGTGTGTTTCCGGGGGGGGGGGGGGGTGAGAAAGCCTGGATTTGTGCTGGAAATGGCCCACCTTGATTACCATGCACATTGTAGGGAGAGTGGTCACTTTGGATGAGCTATTACCAGCAGGAGAGTGAGTTTGTGTGTGTATGGGGGTGGGGGGGGGTGAGAAAACCTGGATTTGTGCTGAAAATGGGCCACCTTGATTATCATGCACATTGTAGGGAGAGTGGTCACTTTGGATAAGCTATTACCAGCAGGAGAGTGAGTTTGTGTGTGTGGTTTTTGGAGGGGGGTGAGGGAGTGAGAGAACCTGGATTTGTGCAGGAA